TAAACATCATGAAGGTGTTTGAGAGCACTTATGTATATTCAAAAAGCTATGCTAGCTTCATCAATTAATTTAAAACTTTTCCTTTTCCGAAAACTGTTACTACTTCCTATGGTGATGGTAAATAAACTAACACCATTCTCAGTTCATATGTAGCATTTCAAAATATATTTTTAAATAAGGATGTATGATGAAATTTGTTAATTAATTGTGAAACAGAATCAGAGGCAGCGTTTTATATTTAAAAGCATTTCTGTCTTCCTCCCTTGCCTGTAGGAAATCAGGTTTCAGTTTAAGAGGAGATGTAAGCAATTGTGGCCGTCTGTGTGCAATGCAGAGCTGTGGCTCAGGATATGGCACCCCGAACCTTAGCTAGGAGCCCAGCACAGTGAGGAGGCACGAGGGAACGTAACATTTTTTTTTTCCTGTGCTAGAGGTAATAAATAATGATGATCTATAATCTTTGAATTTCTGCCACTGAAACAGTGTTCGATAGTTAGCTTAGGCTTTTAAACTACACTTACACGTGTGCTTTGCCACACAAAGCCAGCCCGCAACAGAGTAAGCAATTACAGAGCAGTTCTAAATATCCAGATACTTGAGAAGCATGTTGTTAAAATCTAGCATACTGAAACAAACATCAATTAGAAACATTTCAACTTTTGTTGGAAACGCAACCCAAAATGACGATATTTGAAAATGAAGGTCTGGGTAATTCCATAGATTTTACTGAAGCCGACATTTTGCTCCTTTGTTGTACTCATTTGATAAATATAAAAATGGTGAAAATGTGTCAGATGACTTGTGTGAAATGCCAACTGATTGCAGTTTATTTAAAAAAAAAAAAAAAAAGTATACTTCTGTGTGTAATAAAACAGATATTCCAAATGCTGCTGTTGGCCTATTTCCACCGTTCAAGTTGCTGAACTTGGCACCATGCTCCATCCTATACGTTTTTCCTCCGCAAAGTATGTCTTCAGTACCAGCATGTGAAGTTTTTTTTCCCCCCCCGTCTCACTTAGCTTAAAACAAACTTACCTCCCCTCCTCTAAAGTATCTGTATTTTGGCAGCTTTTTGCAAGTCTGTGAATGAAGTTACATGGAAGGGTAAGGTGTCCCGTTGGGTTCACAATCAATAGGAATCGCTGGCAATAGAAGTAACAGGGTAAACGGCGTGTTCCACAGCACTGTACTGCCTGGAGGCTGCGCTGTGTCAAAGGAAACTGCTGTGGGTTGTGTGGTCTGGCAAAATGGTATCGAGAAAATGACGCCTTAACATTTATCACAGAAAACCAGAAATGCACTTTTTCACAGAAGTAAATGTGTATGTAAGTGAGCGATTTTGTATTGCTTATAAAAAGCTCTTGAAGAAAGTGCAGCAGCGTTGCACGTAAGATCATAAACGTTTCCAGGTAATTTAAAAGTCGATCTTCTGTCAAAACTGGAGGGATTTTTTTTAAATAGAAGAATGAAAAAGGTCTAATGAAACACCAGGAAGTTTAGAAAATGGGTAAGAACCTGATAATATCTGGCTTAAGCAGATGTCTCCCTTTAAATCAGGAGCACTTCTGCATACTCCTAGAGCTCTCAGAAGGCCATAGAATGGGGTTGGAAATCGGATGGATGCAATGGACAGAAATTGCAATACAGGCAAAATGCAAATCTGGTTGCTGTAAGACACTACCAACAAACACTTGATTCAGAAATGGTTAAGAAAGGAAGAGAGAGAGGGGGAGGAAGGGAGAAAAAGACAGGAGCAGGGAAAGGTGCAGGTACATGTGTGGGAGGCTTCTGATCTCCTCTGGTTCTCTCCGGACCTTTTCCCAAAGAGCATTTATACATTCTGTCCTTCCTAACTCCAGAGACAAAGCTATACCTTTAAATGGGAGACAGCTGTCTCCTTGGAAGGTGGAACTGGAATCAGTTCTCTTCTACCCGAAGGTTTACACACCTCAGCTCGAAGGCGTATAAAGGATATACGATATAAAGGTTGATAACCAGCCCTATGGCTTCCGAATTGCAAAAGTCCATAGTCTTGGAAAACTCGAGTGCCAGAGCTCCACCAAAGCAGTGCTAGTGTGATGCAATTCTACTTCAGCAAAATCAGAATCAAAATCAGAATTTAGTTTATAATCTCTAATTGTTTAAAGAAGGCCACCTTCCGTGCTAGTAAGAACAAGCTCAACTTCAAAGCCCTCTTCTTCTGCCATAACCCTACTCCTAAGATCGGAAATGTTGAATGTGTAGGGATTGTACAAGAATCAAATATTTATATCATTTGTAATTTAGTTGTAATAATAATCTCACTTTTAATGTGTTCTTAATGATTATTATGCTTCACTTTTGTAGGCTTTGGTTTCTATCAGACTAAATGTGTCAAATGAAGTGTCAGAGTAAGTGTATTTGTGAACTTTCTATTGCCTCAATGAACCGCAGCTGTGTGCATTAAATAAAATAATTCAGTGAAACAACTGTTGCTCATATAACTGTATCTAAAACTTGAATTTGCTCCCTGAAATCCAACAGAAAACCACTATTACAAAACTTACTGTATATGTGACAAAGAAATGGGATGGGAACAGCTTTTGAGCGGTCCAGTCTAAACCCATTTTGTCGACCTGTTTAACTTTGCTTCTATTAAATGGTCCGCAGCACTGACAAATTTTCGATGCATAGGCCAGTGGTCCCCCAAAAAGCCAAGTATCGGTGTTTCTAGCCTTGGAAGTCACAAAGTGATCCAGCCAGACACCTTAATAAATGAAGAAACCCCCGACCTAAGGATGGCTCTGGTGGCCTGCAGAGGTGACACAGGCAGAGTAGATGGAAGCGGGGTGGATCCCTGCCTGCCGTGCTAACCCGGATGGTCTGGCTGCATTCATCTCTCTCTGCCACCCTGTTGTCTCTTCTCTTGCCTTTAGGAGACGAGTTTTTTTCAGGACTGATTTCTGTAGTGAGCTCCAGTCGTGGAATAAAGGCCTCCTTTGTGGGGCAATATAAATAATGAAGTGGAGAACGTAAAGTGTTTGATCCTTACTGCCGCAGAAGGGCAATGTATATATGCTTTGGTCTGCCCAGAGGTGGTGTGTGTGTTCATCTGCTGAAAAGTTGTTTTACTGGGAGTCGAGAGCCCCTGCCTTAGCTGACAGTCTCGTGCCTTTGCTTCGGAAATACGAGTACAGCTATTTTGAGGGTAGCACCAGGGGAAAGTTCCTGCGCTGTCCTTTGAAAGGGAAATGGATTTTGTGTTTTAACTTTGGCGGCCGTCATTCAGATTTGCACGGCCTAAGGTCCCGTGGTTTTCGTCCTAATACTTATAATCCAGTTGAGAGTTAGGCTCCGGCGTGAGAGACACACCGCACGAGCGAGCTAGGAAGAGCAAAGTTCCTCACTGGAGACCTCGCCAGAGCATGTGGGCGGCAAGTCATCCTTAAGCGGGAAAAGGGATGTGTTCTGATGTAATAAAACCTTGGTAAGAGTTCGGGGAGAAAGGCGCTGCTTTAAACCGAACGCACTCTGCGTCCCGCAGGCCTGGCACAGCCCGGGTTTCTCCCGCTCCCGCTGGGAACGGGTACGTTGCTGTTCCCGGTTGCTGTTCCCGGTTGCTGTTCCCGGTTGCTGTTCCCAGCAGATTCCGCTCTGGGTGCCCCGCAGCCGCCCGGGCCCCGGCGGTGCAAAGCCTC